TAGGCTACATGAAGTCTGTTCATGATTTCATGTGACTTGAGAGGAGGTGACTATAGTAGGTCAGAAGAACTTGACTAAATCACACCCATCCTCCAAATTCTCTTTTCTCTACATATACTTTAAAATAAGGTCCCAGTCTTTGACCTGTGCTTACAACAAAATATGACTTGGCAGAGCATTTGCAAAAAAAAAAAAAAGTGCCCTTTTCCTTTGAAACAAGAATAATATATGGTGTATAATCTTCAACAGGAGGGCAAGAGAGGTCCAAACCCAGCCCTATGGTGGGTGAATAACCAAGGAGATGAAGTAAAATGGAGTTTCAGAGAGATAACAGACTTAAGCTGCCGTACAGCCAACATGTTGACACAGAACTGTGGCCTGCAACGCGGAGACCGCCTAGCCTTGATTCTGCCTCGGGTGCCTGAGTGGTGGTTGGTGAGCCTAGGCTGCATCCGATCAGGTCAGTGACTCAAACAGATCCTGGTAGCCCTCAGAGGTGGCCTAGCACTAATTGGTCCTGAAGCATTAGGTGTTTTCTCTTGCCTAAACTTCTTTCTCCTATACAATCTTTCCTTTATTGGACTCAAATTATATATAAGTGTACATGTACACTTATTGAATACTTGATAGGAACCTGCAGATAAGAACCTTCAAATCCATAAGAACATTTGAGGTAGGTACTATCACCCCATTCTGTTTATTTATTTATATTTATTTATTATTGAGATAGCATTGATTTACAACACTGTATCTCTTCAGGACCTAGGCCTTTACCATAAGCCATTGGGCCTCCTCCTTCATTTGTTCCAACCTCCACCTTCCCTCTCTAGTAGCCTCAATTCTGCACTCATAATTCTAGTCTTTGTTTTGGTTTAGTTTTGTCAGGTCCTTTGTTTTGTTTCTCTATATCCACATCTGAGTGAAATCAGCTGGTACTTGTTTTTTTTCTATCTGACTTATTTAGCATAAGCCTCTCCAGTTCAACCATGTTGTTCCAAATGGCAAGAATTCATCTTTTCTTTTACTAGTTAAGTAGTATTTCATCATGTGTGTAATATATATAGCACATCTTCTTAATCAATGCTCTTTTGTTGGGGACTTAGATGGTTTTCATAGCTTGGCTACTGTAAATAGTGCTGCAATGAACATAGGAGTGTTTTGCCTTACTTTCCTGGCTCTGTGTATTTATTTTCTTATCTAATATCTGTGGGTTATTTTACTTTGATTTTGATCAAAGGATTTTGACAAGGAGCGTTCTTGTCAACATTTATTGTAGGGGAATATCTAGTGTTTGCAAATTCCTTCAACTTTTTTTTTTTAAGGATATATTTTATTTACAAGAGCTGAGGTACAGGCCAGATGAGTGGGAGGGTGAGAGGATTCACCAGAGACAGAGCAGGGAACAGAACAGGCAGACTGATGAAATACACTGCTGAGAGGAGCAGCGGGCGAGACAGGAGAGGTCTGCTTGCCATGTGGGTTGCTCCGAGGCCGGCGGGGATTGGACTGGCACTGCAGAGGCTGCTGATAGCTTCACAGCGCTGCACTCAACCACCTGCACCACTAGGGAGGCCCAGATTCCTTCAACTTTTATTTGAGGTCTTTATTTTCCCCTTGTATTTGAAAGAGAGTCTTGCAATTTTGGCTGGCAGTTTTTATTTTTGAGTATCTTTGAGTACATCATTCCATTCTCTCCTTGCCTTTATAGTTTCTGATGAGAAGTCTGATGTAAACTTGATGGGACTACATTTATATGTTACTTGTTTTTCCCCCCTATACCTTCAATAGTCTTACTGCCTCTGTTAATTCTTGCTAGTTTCACTACTGTGAGTCTTGGTATAGGTGTCATTGCACTTAGGTGTTCTTTCAGCTTCTTGGACTGGTATATTTAATTCCTTCCCCAGGTCTGGATAGATGTCCTCTTTCATTTTTTTCAATAGGTTCTCTATTCTCCTCTCTCTCTTCCTCTTCTGGGGTACCCATTATTCTTATATTGGCTTTCTTGATGGTGTCAGATATTTCTCAAATTGCCTCCTCCTTTTTTTTTTAACATATTCTTTGTCTTTTTCCACTTGTGTCATTAGACCATTACTATTTTTAAGATCACTGATTTGATCCTCCATTTGATCTATTCTACTTTCATAGCTTTCTGTAGAGTACTTTCTCTCATTTATTGAACTCTTTACCTCCTGGATTTCTGTTATTTTCCTGTTAAAACTTTGATTTCTACCTTCTGTTCATAGATTTTATTTCTGAGCTCATTAATTTGTTTTTGTGAGCTTTGTGTGTCTCTTTGATTAACTTTTTTCCTTATATTTCTTTGACTTTTTTTCTGAGTTATCTTGTATTTCTTTGGCTTGCTTTTCTGATTTTTCTATCTCTGAGTTTATTAAAGCAGTTTATTAAATAAGCTCTATCTAGTAGGGAGATAGAATCTTCTATCTTTTCATGTTTGAATTCTGGAGAATTGTTCTCACTTTGTGATATCATACTCTCAATGTCTCATATTTGAATGTGTTATGTTGTTCTGTCTACCCATTTTGTTACTTAAAGTTTCCCTCTGTTATCATTGTTTTAATATCTTTAGATACGGGGGTTATTTAAGTCTTTGCTGGATTCTATATGTACTAAGATCTTTTTTTGTAGCTGTTGAGTCAGTAGGGTGGGAGAAACTTGGAGAGAGCCAGATGTTGATATGGATGAGTCAGGGTGGAACTGGCTCATATTTGTGGTACCTCCAATATCCTTCATCTCTAGGGTTTCGAATGAGAGACTCCATAGTCCCTGTGTTTTCTGTGTGCTTCCCAAAGTAAGTACCAGTCCCAGAGGGCAGGAAGGAGGAGTGCAGATTAGAAAACCTGCTCTGATATTATCTTTGTTGGGGACCCATCCTATATGGTGTACCCCAGCTCTTCACAATGTTTCCCTTTTTCATGGGAGTATGCCTCCATGCAACCTCCACTGCTCCCTGCCCAAGAATTCTGGTTGAATTGACAGACTCACTACCAATGTTCCCTACTTCAGACCACAACCCAGAGCTTCCTTTTTCCATCTACCACCTGTTCAATATATCATGAATATCTTCAGTGTGAACCATGTTTAAATCTGCACTAGGCCCTACTGTCCAAGGAATAATCAATCCTACTCCTATATGAGTGACTGTCTGTCCAAATAGTGTCCCTCTGGCTTGCTTCTCCAATGGCCACACTCTAGGAATTTGTTGTAGACATTGTAAACCTATAAATTCCAGCTCAACATCCATAAACATTGGAGCATACATCTAAGATCCAGGACATTCCCTTCACCTAACTATGATAGGGTTATCACACAAGAAGTCTAGTATTGATACAATGCAGATGCCTGAATACAACCATAGCCAAATTCCTCAATTGCCTCAATAATGTTCTTTATAGACTGTTTTTTCCTTAAACCCAAAAATCCAAACTAGCATCATATGTTGCATTTACTTGCCATGTCTCCTCAGTTCTTTTAATCTGAAAGTATCCCCTAGCAGTTTCTGCATGACAGTTATTTTGTAGGAGTTGTCTTTCTCAGTGCATCCCACCAGGAAGTATATGATGGTGGTTTTGGTCCAATATGAGTTGTATTATTCTATCACTTTAATAAAGTGATATCCACCTTTGTAAACTACCTTTCCCCTTTGCAATTAATAAGTAATCTGTGCTGAAACATATAATAAGACTATGTGAGTATCTTGCACCCCAATAGTTTTTTACCCTATGGTTTGGTTATTTGTTGATGATTCATGACTGAATGGCATGGTTTTAAGGTGGTTGTATTTGAGAATTTTCTATTTCTAGCACTCACTCTACATTTATTAGTTATCATTCTTCTGTGGAGAGTTCCTTCCCTTTCAGTTTATTTGTATAACTTAGAGCCAGAATGGGATTCATAGATTTATTACTCCAGTCCTTCTATTATGCATGCTCACACAACATTCTGTTATGCTCTTGTTATATGTATATTTATACATACTCTCCCTCTCTCCCATTCTTTCACAATACAATTGTTGATGCAGACATCAAAATCATGTGGAATCAAGAAGTAACTGCAATGGCAGAGGGAGTATAGAGAAGCCATGTCATCTGTAGAACTAAGAGATAATCCATAAGAAAGCTAAGACATGGGCTGAGCCCCTAGGGTAAGCAGAATTAAAAATATGTAGAAGCAAAGAAAGCAAATTCTAAGACTGGCCATATCACATGCAAAGGCTTAGAGTCAGAAGAAGTTTGTATGAAGAATGAGTAATTGGAAGTAGAGAATAAAGTTGTGGGAGAGAAAGCTGGAGGTTGACAGCCTTTCAATGTCAGGATGGGGAGTGTAGTGTTTTCTCGAAGAGAGGGCACAAGAATTAGTGAAGGAGAGACATGTGGAGGGAAATGTTAGTACTTTGTGGAACTTAAGCAAATATAATATGGGGATAGGTAGTAGGAAGGTTCAAGACACAGCATCCAGGGAAGAGGTTAGAATCCAATGGGGGCACAGAAAGACTTTGACTAAATGTTGGTGTTGGAAGATGGAAGAGAATGTAGGAAAGTTCAAGGATAGTGTAACTAATTTTGGGTGTGGGGAATGAGAGAAAGATTCAAGATGACAACAAATTGTCTGAGAGAGACGTGAAGGGTAGAAAGATGGAGGCAGGGCAGGGAGGCAGCCAGTTCCGATGTCAGAGACACGTTCTGCTGGCATTAAATAGGACCCACCTGCTTACTCGATAGGTCCATCGAGAATAGAAAAGGTTCTAGCAGTGTTTCAAATTTAATATGCAGAAGGTTCACTTGGGGCTCTTGTTAAAATGCAGATTCTGATTCAGCAAGCTTGCAGTGGGCTGTGAGTCTGTGTCCCAGGTGCAGCTGGTGCTGTGAGTCTGTGGACCACATCTGAAAGCGGCTAGAGGATTTCTATGCAGATAAGTTGGGCTTGAAACTCATGTTTGTGAAAGAAAAATAAACAAACCAACAGTTCCTTCTCCTTCCCAGGAGATCATCTTTCATGCAGGAACCACTCAGTTGAAGGCCAAGGACATTCTCTACCGACTACAAGTGTCTAAAGCCCAGAGTATTGTGACCACAGAAGCCCTTGCCCCTGAGGTGGACTCCATGGCTTCTGAGTGCCCCAATCTGAAAACCAAGCTCCTGGTGTCCGATCATAGCGCGTGAAGGGTGGCTGGACTTCCGCTCATTGATGAAGTGAGTTTCTAGTCTGATGAATGCGCTTTCTGAGAAATGTTGAGAGAAAGTTATTCACCCCAAAGTTCTTGGAAACAGACAGTCATGGTAGGCAGCTCCCCAGGTCTGACACCAGAAACCTCTTCCCAGATCTGTCATTGATTTGCCGCCTGACCCTTGGCTCATTCCATCCCTCTCTTGCTTGTGACTGCTTTATCTTTAAAATAAGAAAATGGAATTGCTTCCCTCACTAAAGTATAATCACCTCTGGACTGCACAAAGGAGATGTGGAAAAATCAGAGGGTTATTGTGTTGTATCTTCCTTTGGATGAGGGATTTGAAGTACTATTTTCATATAAAACAAGTATTGTGAAGAAGTTGAAAGAAAGTGAATTTTTTAAGGTGATACTTGAGTCTGAGTCACAGGTAGTTTGGGGAGCAAACACTTTCTGTGTGTCCAGGTGCTGTGGTGCCTTCAGGAATACCTTGCAGAAATGTTAGGGAAGTAATGGACAGAGACAGGCCTCTTCTATCTCCAAGTTCTGATTCAGAAACCTTCAGGCATCTTTATATCACACATCAACGGTGCTGGATTTGTTTTTTTGAAATTTCATGGCTAATATTACAGCAAAGTCACATCTTATGCTAGATTCTAAAATCAGGAGAAAAATGACCCCAAATGTCATGTTGTTTCTTTTGATGGGCAAATCAAAACTGTGACTTCTTCTCCTTTGCACTAAACCCTATTTTCAGATCAGCATCCCCTGAGCACACCTGTGTTAAGTCAAAGACTTTGGACCCAATGGTCATCTTCTTCACCAGCGGGACCACGGGCTACCCCAAGATGGCGAAACACAGCCATGGATTTGCTTTACGATCTTCCTTCCCTTCTAGGTAGGAAAGAGGAATCTAACTCAGAGGTTGGGCCACATTCTGGGACAAAGTGTGTGTGTGCGTGTGTGTGTGTGCGCTCGTGCGTGTGGAGACCTGAATAGAACCAACTCCATTCTGTTTCTCCTTTCTGCTCTCTTTGGTTCATATTGCTAAGGGTCTAAGAGGTAAAAACTGGAAACCCTGGAGGCATGACAGAGGCACTTTTGGGTGTGAAGGAAATGTGGGTGGAGTCAGCAAGCATAGACAAGCCACACAAAGCTCTTGTGTTGCTGTCAGTGATTCCAGGGTTTGGTGAAGGAAAGACAAAATGTTCTAGCAATGTGACCCAAAGTGATAGAGCCTCTCTTCTCCCCCATCATAGGAAAATCAGATGTGGAGTTTCCCAATCATGTGCTGTTAGAAAAAGTGATTCTTGAAACCAAGTCACGCAAGCCACTACCCTAATCTAGCACAAAAAATCACAGAGGCCAAAACCTTGGGTTATCATTTAATCAATTTTAAACCAAACCTCTTCTTCACGCCCCCCCCCACAAGTAGCAACATTCACGCCAGGCCAATTTCACATAGTTTGCAATTCGTTAACCAGATAAGTTTGCAGAGAAGGCTCTTTGTGGACAACAGGTATCTGCATTGATGATCATGGGTGTAGAGCCAAGTCCTCCATGATGGGGGTAGGAAGTAGAGGAGGGCTTTCCTGGCAGCCAAAAATAATACAAAGGAACAAAGATATGGAAAGTAGCATACAGAGATTGAGAATAGTTGGTATCTGGTGAGAGACAGAGACCCGGAGATGGGAAATGAGTGGAGCCCAGATCAGGTGTGTCTTGTGGACATTGGTGTAGAATTTGGAACAGATTAGAAAAACATGGGAGATTTTGAAAAGTTTTCAGCATAGAGAGGACTGATCACATTTGCATTTTGAAAAGATCACCTTGGAGGCAGGATGGAAGATGTGTGGGGTGATAGGGAGGAAAAGTCATTAGAAACAACAGTTAGAGGGTTTTAGAATAATTTGGTACAAGATGGCAGTTGCTTTAACTGAGTGCCAGACACAAGAAGGGTGTTAGCACATTTGATATTTTAAGAGGTGGACAGGACCCACAGGGCTAGATGTTGAGAAGGTTAACTACCAGGTTTGAGGGTTAGGCAGTTTCACAGACAGTTGACAGGCTCCGAAATCCAGAGTCCACAGGAGAATGAGTCGAAGAGAGGCAGGAGAGATCAGGCTCTGCTGGGCGTGGGGTGCCTGTGAGACATCCCTCAAGAGATACCCAGCAGGTTCCTGGGTCCAATTACTAGTTAGAGAGATGGCCCTAGCTAGAAATTTCTGGTGGGTGTGCCATAATCCTCAGAAAAGGGATGAGAATATATGGGTGTCTCATCAAAACCCTCCCTACCAAGAAAATCTCCACAAAGCCCTAACCTGCTAATGAAGAATTGTGATTTCTCAAGAAGTTATGCATCTAGAGGTCCCTCAGAAACAGAAAGAGGAAGGTAGAGAAATAAAGTTCCACTCACTTCATGTTCCTTTGGCTTATGATTGATTCCAGTCCTTTGCCAATATGAGGTATTAATTAGTTCTCTCTCTCCCTGTCTCTCTCCATTCCAAATGACAGAGAGCCCACTCTAAACCTCTTGAAGCCAAACACTGATTAAGGGAATTTATTGGATCATGAAACAGAGTTCTCCAGGATTTGCCTGTAGTCATAGCTGGAGAGTCTCCGGATTAGGTTTTTATCTCTCCATCTATCAGCTCTGATACTCAGGTTTTGATCTTCTGAGAAAGCCTCATCCTTTATTATACAAAAATGACCACTGGCATCACTTGGGACTCTATCAGATTCGAATCCAGGGAAAGAACAACAGACGTTGACTCGGTGTTCCCTGTCTAAAGGTTCATTATGATTGAACCAGCTGACATCACACGAGACCGGGAACTATAGTTTTACAGTCTTTGGGGGCCTGGGTGGGAACAGATCTTGAGCCCACACAAATCACATGAATGGAGTGGCAGGTGGATCGCAACCCCAAACCCAGAGTCCCCCGCCTTGGATTACATCCTCCTGGGAGCACACAGTGAGGCTGTTGTATTTTGGAGTTAGCAGGAGATTACTGCAGCTGAAGACGTCTGATGTCTTCTGGTGTCTGTCAGACCCAGGCTGGATTCTGGCTGTTTTTGGGTGCTTGCTTGAACCATGGACAGCAGGGTCTACACTCTTCATTCACCATCTGTCCCAGTTTGAGCCCAAAGTCATTGTAGAGGTAAGAATTCAGTACCGTCCACCATCACAAACTCCCAGAAGAAACTCATGTTTCAAGATTAAAAACTGGGCTTCATGGAAAAGATTTGACTTAGCAAAGGAGCCCATGAGCATAATCTAACACCAGCCTGGATTTCTCAAAGTGTGAAGCACAGAGTAATACGATCATTGCATTAGACTCACATCAAGAGGCAACCTTGAAGAAGAGGCTTAGATTCCCCAGACCCATGCATTGAACTGTGTGGGTTCGAAACCCAGAATACACATTTTGAGAAATGGAAGCAAACCAGAGTGAGGTCATGTCTCCTGGATGCCAGGTCCCGGCTGTGCCAGTGTGTGGTTGGAGTATGACACATCATGTTTCTTAGTGCACTTTGGACATTTATTAGTGGTTTACTTGTGACCCTGAGCCTCAGTTTCCTTATCTGTGAAATGGGTGTTTCCATAATTACTATCTCACAAAATTGTTGGGAATAGTGATGAGGTGGCACAAGCTGGCACCGGGACCACACTCCCCAAGTAAGTGGCAGCAGTGGCTGTTGTCTTGTGGTGATAATGGGCTCCTTCCTTGCATGTCCCTGCCCCTGAAATTGCTTTTTGCTTCCCCACTTGCTTCCTTCTCAGAGGCAGAGCTGCCCCCCTCAAAATCTGAACACCTGCTGATCCTTTCCTTCCCTCCTGTGAGGAGTGCCTCTCCATTAATCTTTAATTTGTGAAAACTTTGCTCTGCCCCTTCAATCTCTTACCTGTCATTTATTGACTTTGCTCCCTCAGCCAATAAACATGCCCAAAGTTCCCCATCTTTGAAAGGCTTCCCTTTACCCTAGTGCACATTGGACCTGCCCTCTTTCCTCCCTTAATATCAGATTTCTCCATTGAACTTTCTCCCCTCCCTGTGGCCACTTGATCCAGCTGACCCACAGTCCTCCAGGTGTCTGCCCTCATCTTGCACGTCCTTCCTTAGCAGCCTCCTTCACTTCCATTCTCCAGCCAACGACTCTCAAAGGTGCACCTTGGGTCTAGCCTCTCTCTTGAGGCTAATTCCCCTTGTGTCCCTCCAGCACCCTGGTCAATATCTGCTCTCCATCTCCACTCCCCTACTCCATCATTACCTCCTGCTGCGGGTGAAATCCCCCCAGCAACCCTGAATCCAGCCCCCATCACCAGCTGCCCCCAAAGTCTTCGTATGTTTTAAGCTTGAATTATTTCAAAGTATTCCACAAATTTCCCCCCCTCCCAAAGCCCATAGCATTTTAAAGTTTATTGATTGTGCTTTATTTTCTACTTATTACTTTTGTGCATTTCAGTAATGAAATATCTATTGTTCTAGCCTCTCTTAGTGAAGACAGGAGTTGTTGACTAAAACAAAGAACGTTTAATTAAAAATGTACTGTTCCTGAGCTGGCACACCGTCTAGTTCCTTTCTGCCCACCCCTCTCAGCCAGCCCTCTCGCCAAGTCTGTTGCAAGAGCCCCCTGCTCCGGTGCCACTCTCCCTGGGAAGCCTGGAAACACGGAGACAGGGGATAAAGTACAACTTAGGTGATTACAACCAGAGCCAACATTTGGTGAGGACTTAGTCAAACACAGGATGTGGACAAGATTCTGCCTCTAATCCTTATGTGTGAGCAATGCTCCCCGGGGTGCACATAGCAGAGACCCACTTCAAAGTGGCTTAATGGGAAAAGGAATATAGGCAGGGAGGACACTGGGGTTTGTTAAGAATACAGAAGAGAAGATAGGCTGGTCATGATGAGAGTCTAGAACGGGAACCAGGAAGACACCAGGAGTCAAGGCAGCTTCCTCTCTGCTTTTCTCTGTGTTTCTGTTCCTTTCTTTTTTTTTTCTAAGATTTATTTTATTTATTTATGCATACAAGAGCTGGGGTGCAGGTCAGAGGTGTGGGGGGCCAGTGAGCGGATTCAGCAGAGACAGAGCGGATCTACTGAAATACACTGCTGAGGGGAGCAGTGGGCGAGACAGGAGAGGTCTGCTACACCACATGGGTAGCTCCCTGGCCACCAGGGGATTGAACTTGTGTGTTGCAGTGCCTGAGGATAGCTTGATTGTGCTGCGACTTCACTCCTTGCGCCACCAGGGAGGCCCCTCTGCTCCTTTCTATGTATAAGCCTGCTTGTGCTTCTCCACGCAGTCAGGACCAACATAGAGGACACAGCATTCCCAGGTTGGCAGCCCCCCCTTTCCAGATGACCAGCAGACTAGACACTGAGTGACCCAAGTCACCAGCCCAGTGAGCTACTCCTGGGCAAGATTACAGGCACAAGACTGCATGGAGTGGGATAGGGTTAGGGCTTGGGGGTGAGGGTAGACTTAAATTTTGCCAAACGGACGTGATTGTGAACTATGGCAGAGGGAGAAGAAATGCAGGCTGGGCTCAGAAAGAGGGACCGAGAGTAGAGGTTGCTTTCTCCAAAGTGTCCATTACACCACATGGTGGTTTTATGTGGAAAATATAGATGTTCCCGTTTTACAAAGGAGGAAACAGAGCTGCAGAGAAATGATGTGATAAGATTTGAATTCAGGTCAGGCAGACACCAACACTCACCTTTGCTTCCCTTTCAAGTCCCTGCTCTCACCTCTACCCTGATCCGGAACTCTGAAAGATCCCCATCTCTAACTAAATAATGATGAATTAGACCCTAAATAATCTGGCTTCTCCTAACCCCAGTTTTCCTAAATGTGCCTCTTATTCTTCTGTATATCTAAATAAATGATATTTTTTGTTTCTTATTACATCCTTACTGTTTCTTCTGCTCGTAAGACTTGGCTCCTGCTGTCCTCTATCTTCAAGGACCTTCCCCACTGCTCTGCCTGGACACACTGCATTCATGTGTTGAATGCCTCCAACAAATGCCACCTGGTGCACTGAGCCCCTGGGTCACCTATTCACAAGGAACTTCCAGAACTATCTTCAAATCTCACTTGTGACATTTACCAATGTCTGCCTTATCATGTGAGTCCTGTTTTATGTCCTCAGTTAGCACCTATTCTGCACAAGAGCTGGGACTTCATCTTACGCTTCTGACCTCCCTCCACAGTACCCAAGGCAAGCTACGTACAAAACTCATGACACAACTAACAAATAAATAAGTGGGCTCTCCTAGAGAGGAGATCAGAACGAAAATGCTAATCATCAGCTAATAATTTTAGTCTTAACCTAAAATATAACTTTTCATTTTCTAGACATTCTTCAAATATCCCATCACCCAGTGCATTGCTGCGCCAGGGGTGTACCGGATGATTCTGCAGAAGAACTTTCCCAGGTATGGTACAAGTAGCTGTGGCTGGATTCTAGGAGGAAGATTTCTAGGAGGAAGATATTAAGGAATATGATGCATTGTGATCTAATTTTTCTAAGTGTGGTTTTTTTTAGGTGTGTGCTTGTACATGTGTGAAGTGTTGATGGTGATCATTATCATCCAGACTAATTATTTCATTAAGCGGACTCAGAGATACGAGTAAAAAAGCATCCTTAGTTTTGCACTGTGGGTTTGTTTTCATTTTTATATTCCCCATACAATTGAACCCCCTTATTTTGACCCCAATCCCTCCTTTCCCCGCCCCCCTCCCCCATAGTGTGTCTCTGGTTCATAGTTGTTTGTTGATTTTGATTTTTTCTTTCTTATAGTTATTCTTTTTCCTGGTCCCTTATTTAGGTTTTCTAGATTCCTGCTATGAGTGAGACTATCTGGTATTTTTCTTTGTCTTTCTGGCTTATTTTGCTGAGCATGATCCCTTCCAGCGCCATCCATGTTGCTGCAAATTGCATGTGTTTATCTTTTTGAATGCCGAGTAATATTCCATGGTATATATGTGCCACATCTTCTTGATCCAGTCATCTATTTTTGGGCATTTGGGTTGTTTCCAAAGCTTAGCTATTGTAAACAGTGCTGCTATAAACATAGGGGTGCAGGTGCTCTTTGGAATGGATGTTTCTGTGTCCTTTGGGTAAACACCTAGGAGTGGAATTGCTGGATCATATGGGAGCTCTATCTTTAGTAGTCTGAGGAACTCCAGACAGCTGTCCATAGTGGTTGGAGCAGTTTGCACTCCCACCAGCAGTGCAGGAGAGTTCCTTTTTCTCCACATCCTTGCCAACATTTGTTGTTGCTAGTTTTTTTAATATGTGCCATTCTCACTGGTGTAAGATGGTATCTCATGGTAGTTTTGATTTGCCTTTCCCTGATTGCAAGTGATGTTGAACATTTTTTCATATGCCTGTTGGCCATTTGCATTTCCTCTTCAGAGAAGTTTCTTTTTAGCTCTTCTGCCCATTTTTTGACTGGATTATTTCTTTGTTTTTGTTGAGTCTCGTCAGCTCTTTGTAGATTTTTGTCATCAGTCCTTTATCATTAGTGTTGGTGCACTGTGGGTTTTAATCTTTGTAAATATTTTTATTTTGAAACAATAAACATAAAGAAAAATTGATGACATAAATTTACAGATGAGTGAGTTGTTGAAAACATAACACCTGTGTAACCATTCACCCAAATCACAGAAATGGAACATGGCCAACACCTCAGATATCTCTCACTTCCTAAAGGAATCCATGGTCTTGACTTTTAAGTCCAATTCCTTCCTTTCCTTGAGAGTTTTCCTCTGAAGGAAATATTCCTAATACTCATGATTCTATTTTACTTGTGTTGGAACTTGATGTATGTAACCACATATTATTCTGTAATACATGGCTTCTTTTTCTTCAACATTATGTTTCTAAGATGGGTTCATGTTGTTTAATATTGTTGTGGTTACATTTTCATTGCTGTATAATATTTCACTTTATCAAGGTACACATTTTTATCAGTTCTATCATTAATGGGCATTTGGGTAGATTTCAGTTTGGGACTATGGATTAATACTGCCTTGAATTTTTGCACTTGTACCCTAGTGCCTATCAGCATGTACTTCTGTAGAGTTTTTCTAGAAGAGGAATTTCTAGGTCACATTGACATTGCATACTATCACCCTGGTTTTCAGAGTCTTGAACCACTTTGTATTTCTACTAGCAGAATAAGAGAATTCCCATTGTTCCACCTCCTTGACAGTATTTGTCAGAGCTTTTCATTTTTGTCAATCTGATGGACGTGTACTGTTGCTATGGTTTTATATTTGCATCCCTCCATATTTGTGCATAATTTTAGCTAACTTGAAATATGCTCTTTGAAATTTGTGGGCACTTATGTATCATTTAGAGATCGTAAATTTGAAAGAGTGCCTTCAAAAATCAAAACTAACACGTTTCAGAGTTAAAATATCAAGGAGTTCAATGACTGCCCTTATGAAGCTTATTCTGAAATAGAGCATAATTTTATCCCTGAAGCCCCAATCTGGCTGGATCCTGTTTCCTTCTAGATGTCAAAGCTTAGCATTCCTGATGATGACTTTGTCCAAACCCAGTAAAATCCAACCAGAGTGTAATTAATGACTACATGGGAAACTCCACCCACCTGATCTCCTTTAGCTAAAGCTGCAGAAGAATGAGGAAGACTTCCCCCACGACAACCACTGTCCTGTCCCTCACTCCTCTCTGCAGGTGCCAGGAGGGAGAACCCAGCCCACTCCAGCTGCTACCACACCTTAGTCACTTTCCCCATTTCCATCAGGAAATCCATCATTATTTTTATGATTGTTTTTGTATTATTTATGGAAAACTGCAGGGGAAAATTGGAGGAGAGAACTTGTAGGCTGTACCTATCTAACTACTAGAAATGTTCGCATCAGATTTTTCTATTTTCTCTGCAATTCCTTCTCTCTCTAAGGCTGTTACCATTCACCCTTTTCCTTTCCTTCCCTACACTCGGCCCAATATTGCTGCGTGTCCTGAGCAATTTATTTCCATCCCTTAATTTATTTCCTCCAGTTGGAAAGATAAAAACCCTCGGTTCACATAACTCCACTCTTCACAGAAGGCAGTGCCGTTCACTTGGGGGGTTATCTCTCACCCCTCTATGATTTATAAGAACACCCCTCTTAGCCACATTGAACGCTTCCCTAAGAGGAGTTCCAATAAACACATTTCCACCTTTTTAACATCCAAAGCTTCTGTGAACCCATTAGCCTCACCACCACCACCCACTTGTGACCAGCTCACAGGAGGTGACAGGACGTGGGAGACTTTCACTTGGCCTTGGCATCAGTAAAATGCCCAGAAGGCAAGAAAGTGAAGCAGTGTAAATGGTGCAGTTCACACGCAGAGAGGTTTGGTGGGGGCAGGGCGCCCAGGCCCTCTGACCTGAAGCTGTCAGCAACCCGTGTCCCCTAAGCCTCAGGTTCCCCTGCCTGGAGCACTGCAGTACTGGAGGGGAGCCGCTGCTGCCCCAGGAGCGAGAACAGTGGCGACAGCGGACAGGCATCCTGATCCACGAGGTCTATGGACAGTCAGAAACGGTAGGTGGGTGGTCCTTTCTGGGCCAGTCAGTACAGGCTGGGTGACCGAGCCCGATGGAGCCTCTGAGCCAGGTCACCAGGGAGCTCGGAAGCCCCGCTGGGTGCAAGGTGCTGCTGGGAGCTGCTGGGAGCTGCTGGGAGGCTCCAGAATTCTAGGCTAATTATGCCCCACGTCAGTTTGCAGAATGGCAATTCACAGCTTGTTGCCTAATCAAGAGACCATTTTGGACAAACTTTAAAAGGGGGTTGAGGTGGTGATGCACCGCCGCCCTGTGATCGTCAGGGGCAGCAGGACGAGGAGGCGCTCACTCTCCAGTACCTGCAAGCCCCGAGACTCCCCTTCCAAAGGCAGCGGCCCAAGCGGCAGGCTGGAGCGGACCTCAAAAGTTCATTTCTGGGTGTTTATGAAGACAGCATGCAAGTTGGATTGTGGGACACCACCAGGAGTAAATAGGGAACAGAGATGTTCTGTACACACCACACACTCCCCCCACCCCCTCTCACACACACACACACACACACACCACAGAATGTGACCCCAAAGAGCGCCACCGCACCGCAGCCCATCACTGCTCAACAGTCCCAGGTAAATGTTTATGAAGTGGACTCGCAGCTTCCCCTGGCAAGTGGACACAAGCCTGGCACACAGTGGGTACCCCGCACCCCAAGTGACATGCCCACAGCCCCAGGTACCCCTCTGGCCCCTGTAACCCCACACCTAGCACAGGCCCGGTCCAGGTGGGGCGCCACGTAGGTCCACTGGGGAGAGGTTGCCCTGGGGGTACCGCGTCAGACACAGCAGGGCCACCGTGTGATTCTGGCTGTTCTGTCACCAGCCTGGGCCGCGTGGGCACCTCCAACCCTCTTTCTCTTGTGGACAGGCACTGTGCTGTGGTAATCTCCGGGATGTGAAGCCCAAGCCCGGCTCCATGGGGAAGGCCTCCCCACCCTACGACGTCCAGGTCTGACCCCCGGGGTGCCGGCAGGTCTGGCTAGGGTCGGCTGGACTCGGACTGTGGCGTGAGGGCCAGTGCCCCTGCCCCCCAGCCTTCCGCCCCTCCTGCTGTTTGACCTCTGATTTCCCAGGAGGTTTTGCCACCCGGCCACGAGCAGGAGGGCGGCTCAGGGGACAGCCAGAAGCCTCGGGCACAAGGGGTGGAGAGGCGTCCTCCGGGTGGTGTGTGTGGCTTCCTCTACCAGCTTTTAGTTTTTGCTGATTTATTTTTTTTTTTAGCCCAAAGACACATTTGCGGTGTCTGTCTGTCTGTCTGAGACAGAGAGACTCTTGGCTCGGGCTTCGGCCCTTGTGGCTTTCAAAGACTTTTGATCATCTGATTCCATTTCTGGCAGGGTTTCTCCACCACAGCCCAGCCCTCGTTACCCCCGCTAGCGTCACAGAATAAGCTGGGGTGGGGCGGGACTTGGGGGTACCCTGCTGGGGGGATTCACAGGCCACTTGCTCCAGATCATCGACAGCAAAGGCAACGTCCTGCCCCCCAACACTGAAGGGAACATTGGCATCAGAGTGAAGCCCATCAAGCCCATAGGCCTCTTCATGTGCTACGAGGTAAGGCCGCCCTGTCTTCCCAGCTGCTCTATCACCCCATTCTCCCCTTCAGGCCCCATGGGCCCCCCAAGTGTTGATGACCACAGAGGCCTGGACAATCTCCAGTCCCCAAAGGTTACATAGTATAAGATTCCATTTATATAACATCCTTAAATGACAATATTATTAAATGGATAATGGATTAATCATTGCCAAGGGCTTAGGGTGGGGGTGGGGAGGGGATTGAGGAATGTGGCTGTGGGTACAAAGGAGCAACAGGAGAGTCTTGGCATGATGGGACTGTTCTGTGTCTTGATTGTGGGTCCTCTGCCCTGCACATGTGCTACAGTGCAGTGTGCTAACTTCTGTCTGTCTGTCTGTCTCTCTCACACATACACAACACACACAACACACACAGAGGAAGTAAAAAAATGTTATCAACGTTAATAACCAGGTTGTGATACTGAAATGTAGCCTTATAAGCTGCCCCCGCTGGGGGAAACTGAGTGAAGGATACATGGATCTCTGCATTATTTTAATTGCATGCAAATCTACAATTATCTTAACGTAAAAAGTTGAATTGAAAAATACCAGCCTTACAGACTTTCTGTGAGGATCACCTGAGGTGGTATTTGGGGAAGAAAATTCACTGGGCGTGTTTATGGCAACCTCCCAACCACCAGACGCTCTGTGTAGCTGAGCTGCTGACAGCGAGTAAGATAAACAGAGTTTATGTTCTACTCGAGATTTTGCCCTGTCGGGGTGCCAAACCAAATGAGTTATGATTTTGTTCATTGTTCTTGAGCCATCTTAACCCTGTCCACTGAGCGGGGAGTGCAAGGAAGACAGGTTCAGAGAGATTTCAAAAGGTTAGGGTTAGGGTTAGGAAGGAAGACTGGTTAAGAGAAATTTCAAAAGGTGCCAGAAGCAGGATCCAGAAACCCCAACTGGTGACTCTTCACCTCTTCAACAAAGGGGTGCCATTGTCTTTGCAGAACGACCCAGCCAAGACAGCCGAGGTGGAGTGTGGGGACTTTTATAACACTGGGGACAGAGCGACCATGGATGAAGAGGGCTACTTCTGGTTCCTGGGGAGGTCTGATGATGTCATTAATGCCTCCGGGTAGGTGCTGCTGACCCCAAGCCCGGAGCTTCACCCTCGCATGCCCTGACATTCCCCCATGCCTGGTAACCACCCAAGGCCTCATTCCCAGCAAGGCCTCCTCTGGGGTCCTGGCCTGGGGAGTCTGTGCACCTCCCCCAAATCCCTCACCCAGAAGAATCAAGCGATATGAAGCTCAAGAAGGTCCTGCAGGCAAATCATAATAAGACATCTTGCAATTTAAAGCTGATCTGGGAAGGGAGGCCCGACTTTGGTCCTGTTTGCTGGGGAGGCGCTTATTCTGTGTTCGCACTGCTCTGTGGGGTTGTAAACTCACAGCCAAACAGAGCAGCAGAAGTAGTAACAGTAACAGGTCACCTTCAGGCAGCTGAGTAAGGAAAGCCCCTCTCTGCTCTGTGCAAGTCATTGTGTGTGTCGTTCTCCTGAGGAAACTGAGTCCCTGGGCAGTGAAGAGAGTCTCCTACGGTTTGAAAGGCAGCGCAGCAGACAGCCAGGGATTTGAACCCAGGTCCTCTGGCTCCGAGGCCGTTGTCCCTAACCCTTCTGGATTCAGAGGAATAACGGCCCTTGCCAGTAGCAAGTTCCCTGGGACATTCCAGGGGAGTGAAGTTTATTTTCAATTTCTAAAACAAGGGCAGGTAGGACAAGGAATAAGACACAACTTTGCATGCTAGAGATAAAACTTGAGGTTTCCGAGAGGTTTCCTGCGGGTGGCATTGCTAGAGCCCAGTCCTCGCCCACCCCACCCCCAGTTGCACACCCACTGGGTGAGAGGCGAGCTGCCCTGAGCACCTGAGCCTCGCTTTTCTAGGGTGCAAGGCGGGTCTCCATCTTGCGTCATATTGCACAGCCATTTCTGACTCCCTCAGTGCCAAGGGAAGATGTGACCCTCTAAAACATGAGATTGGGGGGCTTGGGTCACCCCTGAGCGCTTGCTCGGAACCAGAGACGGAACCATTGGTCCCGCAGGTACCGCATCGGGCCTGCAGAGGTGGAGAACGCCCTGGCGGAGCATCCAGCGGTGGCCGAGTCAGCTGTGGTGGGCAGCCCGGACCCGACTCGCGGGGAGGTGAGGATGCCCCCGAGTCTGCGGGGGCTCTGGGCTGCAGGCGCAGGGAAACTCGCGGGGCCTGTCTCCCCAGCCCTGCTCCCGGGGAAGCGTGTGCACGTGCACGCTGTGGCCACCAGGGGGCACTGTGGGCGCCTCCGGGATCTAAGAGGCTGATGATGACGGTGATGGTTAATGAACTCTTACTATTCGGCTCATTTATCCTTCACGACAGCCTAGTGGTCTGGGACTGCCCCTACACCCTTTCAATGACAGGAAAACGAGCTATAAAGAGGCTGGCTAACTTGCCAGATAACACCAACACCGTTAATACTGACGAGGCACAAAGGGAATCCCAGCAGCCTGTCCAGAGCCTGCATCGATTAAAAAGTGTCCATGTGCACTACTGTGCACCGGGCCCTGCGAAATTAAGTGGCATCATGAGTAATAATATAAAAGTAGTAAATTAACCACAATTATGAAATGTCCACGAGGTTCCAGGCATAAATTGTATACAGAGTAGTAGTAAAATTGGTGACGATAGGCATAATAACAAGTTCAAGCTAACTTCATAATTTTTTAAAAAGATTTATTTATTAATGCATATAAGAGCTGGGGTACAGACCAGAGATGCAGGGGGTGAGAGGATTCACCAGAGACAGAGTGGGGAGCAGAACAGGCAGACTGACTGAAATACACTGCTGAGGGGAGCAGCGGGAGAGACAGGATGGGTCTGCTGCGCCATGTGGGTAGCTCCCTGGCCGGCTGGGGATCCAACTTATGCTGAAGAGGCTGCGGACAGCTTTGGACAGCTTCACAGTGCTGCGCCCAACCCCCTGCGCCACCAGGGAGGCCCTAACTTCATCATTTATATGTATTATCTCGCCAACCTTTTCCATAAACCTGATCAGCAATGAACCTGTATTGTCTCCATTTTGCAGAGAAGGATGCTGAGATTAAGGGGGGGTTAAATAATTTTCCAGTTCCTGTCCTTTACAAACGTTCAACTGTCACTAGTTGGCACTCACCCCGCGCCTCTGCTCTGCTCTGCAGGTGGTGAAGGCATTTGTGGTCCTGACCCAGCAGTTCATGACCCATGACCAGGCCCAGCTGACCAAGGAGCTGCAGGAGCACGTGAAGTCAGTGACGGCCCCATACAAGTACCCCAGGAAGGTGAGCAAGGGGTCTGGTCACCCTAAGCTGTTCCCAGGGAGCCCCAATCCCACAGGGTGGCAGGATGAAGCTTAGGGGGCCAACCGCACTAGGATTTTTCCTCTGCAAATGAGACAATTCAGCTAGCGGGTGGGTGGGGGGTGCAACCAACTTAATGTGATGGAAACTGTTCACTGTGTCAGAAGCCAAATGAATGCATTGCTGGCAGGTTAACCTAAAGTAAAAAGTATGCCCAGTTGTCCAAGAAGATTTATTATAATCTTTCAACGTTTGAAAAAGAAATCCAAATTGGCAACTTCCAAATTTTTAAAAACTATTCACAGTAAGAAACACATTGTTTTTGTAAATAAATACCTATACATATATATACAAAGAAAATTCACAAAATGATATTTATCCTTACAGTGTGCAATGCATTCTGTATTTTTATTCTACTTCATTTGCTTTAAATGTCACTTGCAATCTACAAAAATGTCCAACAATAGAGAATTGATTAACTTATTCATAAAATGGGATATTATCCTGTCATTTAAAATGATGAACTGTATCTTTTATTTTTAACATAAAAGCATGTAATAAAATTATTACTAAGAAAAACAGGCTATGAAAAAATATATATTATCCTATTCATTTAACATTAACATTTGAAAGCTTACTGAGGCTGAAGAGTGAACATTTCCTTCTTTTTTAATCATACTTTGCTGCCTTGTGTGAATATTTACCATACTGACAATGCAGCAATATGTATGAAGCTGCTGTGGGTCAGCACTACTTCCTAAGTGTCAGGCCCTGGGCTTTTGGCTCTAAGTACATTATTATTTCATTCAATCCTTCCACAGCCTCAGATGGTATAACCATCCTCTTGTCCAGAGAAACTGAGGCTCAGAGACTTGAACTGGCTGAATGACAGCTGCTAACAGCTGGAATTCAAACTCACATGTGTCTGGCACCAAAGTCTCAGTGCCTGTGGCCACTGAGAGTAGAAAGGGGTGTGTCCCCACTGGGAACGCCTAGCTGCCATTGTGGGTAACAGGCCAATCGCGTGGCTGATGAGGAAGGCTGCTGCCCTGCCAGTGCCAGAGTCCACCTTGGCTCTCTGCTCCGCGTAGCCTATCCTGGGAAAAGGATAAGGAGCGGCCACCATAAAGGGACCTGTCAAGTGCTATAAGAGATCACCAGAGAGGGTGTCCAGTCACGGTAATGCCTAGCTCCTCAGTTAGAGGTGACCCCGTCACTCCCACTATCATGCTGGGTCACAGGGCTGCGTCCAAGTTCATGGGGTCAGAAGAGACCCCAGCACGCTTGGTAGGGGGACCATGAAGGCCACCATGTGGTGCCAGTCTGTCTGGGGGGCTGTGCAGGCGCAGAAGAGGGGTGCGGGGCCTGGAGGAATTCCAGTGGTGCTAAAGCCATGATGGGTTCACTTTATCCTCAACCAGGTGGAGTTTGTTCCAGAGTTGCCCAAAACCGTCACTGGCAAGATTCGAAGGAGCGAACTTCGGAAAAGGGAGCTGGGTCAGAAGTAACCTGCAGCAAATGAGAAACCACTTTGACGTCGGCCAAATCCTGGGCTGCCTCAGTTTCCCTTCAGGGTGAGGGTGAGGAGGGGCGCATTGAAGTTGACTTGGAAGCACATCAGAAGGCCCAGCTCTCCAGAATAAACAGCAGTCACTCTCCTGCGTCCACGCCTCCTGTCCTGTGGGATGGCAGAGGGCCCGGGGCCGAGGCCGGAGGGAATAAGGCACTGGCATTGGTGTCAGTTTGCCCTGTGCTGGGTTTTCATCCTGTGGCTGAGCCTGTGCTAAATTCTGCCCCACTGGGGTTCACCCCTCCCCTCAGAGCTAGCAGGGCTCCCCACTGCTGGCCCTGGGGGTCTGCCAGCCCAGTAGACGCATAGGGCACAGGGCCAAGGCTCTGAGCAGCTCCTGCCCCTCTAGGTCCCAGCCTGGACCCCCTGGGTGAGCGATGGACATGCCCTGGCGACCCAGCAGGACCTCGTGGCTCTTCCAGCCCCTCCTGGGGCTCCCAGTCCCTCATTTCTACCCAGAGCCCTTGGAGTCTCACTCCTCAGCCTTCCGCCCTATGCCTCACCTGCTCATCTTGCCCCAGGGCCCAGGAATCCCTCCGGCCTTCCGCAAGGGCCCAGAGTCCCTCCCCAAACAAACCCCACCGCTGTCCAGCCCGCTCCTGTCCCCTGCCCTGGGGCTCTGCAGCCCGACCCTTCACCCCATCCATCCCGGGGGCCTGAGATGGGGCCACAGGCGCCTGGGAGGAGCAGAGGAGGAAGGGCCCAGCCCGAGGGTGGGGGATTGGGCGGGGAGAAGCACCTACGGTCCCCTTCCTGCCCCTCCGGGGGGCTCACCCTCAGGGACGTTCCCTCTGCAACTCCCATTTCTGGGTGCACACACATTCACAAGGAAATATACAAATCCCATGGTGCAGAAGCATGGTTGGAATCAGGCCAGCCTCATCTGGTGGCAGGCCCCAGGCAAGTGTGGGGTTTCAGACAACAGGGAAAACCAGTCCCCTCGTTGGGCAGATGCTGTAAGTCACAACCGCTGTGAAAGCTGAAAAAATAGCCAACACCAGAGTGAAGTCCCTCGAGAGAAACCGGCCCCGGGTCAGACCCGAGGGGCTGCCCTCCAGACAAGGGAGCACAGAGACGGGGCGTGGACACTGTCTCCCCAGGGCACTCACCATTTTTCCAAGGCGGGAATGGTTTCAAGTCGAAGTGGCAGCTTGCTGGGCTGAGGGAAGAGGCCAGTGTCCCATCGCAGCCCCGAGGATGGGTCTTCCCAGGGTGGTGTGGTCTGGGGGCCTGGACCAGAGCTGCTGCGCCACGTGGGTTGCTCCCTGGCTGGGCATCGAACTCCTGCTGCAGAGGCTTCAGATTGCTTCATAGTGCGGGGCTTAACCCCTTGCGCCACCAGGGAGGCCCCTCTCTTTTTTTTAATGAAGGAAAGAGAAATTTGAAAAACAGTGTAAAGGGCGCCAATTTTTTTTATTTCACCCAAAGAATCTGGCGAATCAACAAGGTTATCTGCTGCTTAGCGCAGGAGAAATTGTAGTCTCTGTTGATGAGACTGCGCTTCAGTGTTAAATTTATGTAAAAAAAAAATTAATTCTCTGTTTCGTTTGACACTCAAAAATAAGAGTTCTTTGGCTCCCGGACCCCGTGGGGAATTCGCACCCCAGCCAAGAGAACAGGCTTGGCCTGAGGGGTGCACCGCGGCTTGGAGAGGTGGTTCCCAGAATGGCCAGGAGGGGGCGCGCGGTCACCATGCGCGGGGAGCGGGCCGTTCCCCGCCGTGCGCGGCAATGTCCGGCAGAGGGCGCCCGCACTCTCCTTTCTGAGCCAGGGGCCCAGCCAGCGCTGGAGCACCCCATAGTTGGGCCTTAGGGACTGGAGCAGCTTCACCCTGAGAACAGGAGCTGTGCTTCTAGCAGCTTCTGCCCCCCCAACCCCCGCCCTGGGGATATGATGTGGAGGCTTTGGCGCCTTCTTAGTCTTTTTTCTTGTGAGGTTTATTTATTTATGCATACAAGAACTGGGGTACAGGCCGGGTGCACAGAAAAAAGGACAAAGACCGTGCACAGGACTGCTGGCCTCCTACCCCACCTCTTGGGACTGGCACTGAGCCCCTGCGCACACGGACAGAGGAAGAGCCTCATTCTGGCGCCAGAGAGCAGCAAACTCCAGGCTCCAGGGCGCTCCCCTGCTGTGATGCAGCAAAAGCAGGTTCAGGACACAAGAAACTAGCAAAGGTCAAAAAACTGAAATCAAGCCAGGGGAGGCACTGCCACCTCCTAGGAGCCCACAGGCAGGGACCGCATGGCAGTCCCAGCAGCGGGCTCCCCCCTGGATGCCTGGCAGCAGCAGTGACAGCAACTCCTAGTCGTACTTGCCTGCTGAGCAGTACCCAGGCTGGAGATGCTTTGCCAAGCACTGTGACTGGCACACCAAGAGCCCTCACTTCCCCACATCATGCCACCACCACCAGGAGGCAGGCGGGGCTGTGTCCAGAGCATCACCTGTAAGGTAATGACCTGGCGGGAGAAGATAGTGGCGCACACCTGGGCATCACCCCCCACCAGTGCCCCGCACGCCTCTAGGAGAACTCGCCCTCATCCTGCACCAAGAGCCTCACCTGCGTGGTGTTGCCTCCTGTAGCTCGCCATGAGACCTTGGTGGGTGGCTGGATCCAGATGTGTAGCCAGAGTTCTTCAACGCCTGGAGCAGCCTGGACGGGAACGGCCAGCCCCACAGCACTGGATGGGAGGGGACACTTAGCCTTTGCTGCAGGATAAAGGTTACATGGAAACACTCGCTATCCACCTCTAACCTGTTACCTCTGTGTAGTCACCTCTGCAGTCAGCAGCCAAGAGTCTTTAGCCAACTGGCTGGACAGTGGTGTGGGCCCAGAGCTTGGAGCAGGGATGCTCCAGCAAAGCCCCGGTGGGGATGGTGAATGCTCGGAGCTTAAGGCGATTTCCTCCCCGCTCTCATGGGCTACAGTGCGTGCAGTCTGTCTCCATAACTATGGGCTCGGGATAAGGACTCAGAGGCCAGGTGCCCCCACACCTGGACAAACTTCCACCCCAGGGCAGAGCAGAGAAGGGAGGCTTCAGGACTGGGCCCAGCTGGCCACTCTGAGAAGGAAACCCTACCCGAGCACTGAGAGGCTTTTTCCAGGTTTACCATCAGCATCTGGGGCTTCCTGAAATATTTGGGCAATGTTAGGGACTAGGATTAGCCCCGGGACTCACGTCATGAAAATTCATGGAAAGGAAAAGCATCTTGGATTGTTTTCAAGCCATTCCAAAAGAGCAACGAAGTCGAAGAAAAGACTATTAGACACGCTTCAAGGGAGCAGAGAGTCAGAGAGAAAGAAGCAGGCAGGGGCCGGCTGCCCGCACTGGGCCAGGTCCAGGGCTAAGCACGGTCAAGAGCACAGACCCCCTATCCGGGAAGCACTGAAGTCTTGAGCGGTTCCACCTCTACATGCAACCGTTTCCTGTCCAAGTGCTCCAGAATGAGGCAAGAGGAGACTATGCCGCTGAGGTAGAGACACAACAAGTCTTAATAAGACGATTAAGAAATTTTCTCTTAGGCACAAAAGAGCAATATACTCTCCTATGATTGGAGGTGTTTATGTGGGATGATTCGGCCTCAATGCAAGGGTTGTTCCTGACCCCTGGGCCTTCCAGATCCTTCTCTGGGAATCTGATGTATGCCAATAAAAACAATCCTATTGATCTGTTATCAGATTCTCTCTCTCTCCCCTCCTCCTCCTCCTCTGGGGGTAGAGGTGCTTTTATAATGAGTGAAAATTTTCCCAGCAGGATTCTGACATTTCTATACAGAAAATTGTAAGGCCATTAAGGTCTAAGGTCTTCCTACTTTGAGTAAATCAAATCTGCACATTTTACTTTAAACATCTTCTTCTATGATAGACAGATGTACATTTTTAAATTTTTTTTTCAATTCTCTTTTTTTATTTTATATATTTTTACGCAATGGAATATTACTCAGCAATCAAAAAAGATAAACTCATGCAATTAAACATCTTCTTAAAGGAAAAAAACAGCCCTCGTTCTCCTCTTGGTCCTGTCACTCCTCACTGCCCATTATGAACCGCCCCCAGGCTGCAGCCCTTCTCTTACCAGGCCCACCAGGCTCTGCACCCCCATGACCTGTCCTCTGGGGCACTGAGAGGGCCAGGAAGCAGGTGTTCGGAAGAGTCTGAGAAGGGAGGGGGGCAGAGTCAGAATTGAGGTGCGTGTGGCAGGAATGGGGTGCTGGACACTGGGAGAATAGGAGGGTCAGGGAAAGAGCAGGGTCAGATCAAGCCCTCGAGGGGAGGGAGGAGGACTCAGGTCAGCGGGTCAGCAGGACACAAGTGCAGGTGGACAGGACTCTTGGGAGTGACTCTTGGGAGCAGGTGGAGAGGGCGGGATCTGTTCTCCTTCTCCTGTCTGGCTGCTGCCTTACCCGGGTGATTTATAGTCTCCCCACCAATTCCAACTTTTGCCCCTTTCCATCACTGTGGGCTCCCTGGCGCCCTCCCCACACACCTGCCACCCCGATGAACAGCTCCAGGCCTCACAGACTGCCAGTTCCAGCCCCTCCTGCCCCAGGTGGCTTCTGCCCCACCCTGGCTGTTCTCTTCTTCCTTGCCCTTGGGCAGCGGCTGCAGAACAAAGCAGAGACAGAACCAGCAGAGGACCAAGGATGCAAGCAGAGGCGGTTCCACACGCCTCTCTCAGTCTAGACATCTTAACACCTGACACAGATGGACAGGGCACTCCCCTGTGTCACCCCGCTGCCTGCCAGCCCAGCCCTTACACCATGAACATAAATGGGAGACAATCCAGCTGACTCTCCTGGGTGATCTCCAGTTTCTCTAGGAATGTGAGGTTTTTTTCCTTTGTGTTTTATTTTTTCCTGAAAGCTGCACTTATCTATGCTTCTGTGGAAATACAGAAAGTATGCAAAAGTGTCTGGGAAGAGAAAAAATTACTTACAATGATCATTATACTATCGAGGCAAATATTGTCAACATCTTGACACTTTCATCTACACAATACTCCTGTTAACATTCTTTCCTTGAGATGTTATTTTTTAGTTTATTCATGTTAAGCAGAAAAAATAGAATACATCTCAAGGAATGAGACTTTTTTTAAAGAGAATTCACCAGCTTCCCTCTTGGAAGCTCAGGGACAACAGCCAGGGAGCTTCTCCTTTGGGGAAACAGCCATTAAAGATTCAGATATTTAAAAGCAACCATATAAGCAGGGAAAGTTAGAGATAAGAAATAGGAAGCATTTTGGTCTCATTTGAATCTGCGTAACTAAAATGAAGTGGAAGCCGTGGGGGGGGGGGTGACTATTGAGAATCAGGCCCCATGTCCAGGCATGTGCAGGTATGTATAGATACAAAGACCTACTGGAAGGAAATGTGAACAAGCCAGCCCACCACAAACCACTCAGGATTGCAACTCGACCAATCATTGCTCAACTAACTTTTCACCTGATCTGGATGTTATTGCCCCAGTTGGAACCCAACTCAAGCATAGCCTCATTTTTATAATGGACAATCATTCTGGAACCTGATGGACTTGTAATCCTTATTCAAATAGCTGACAGAAGTGACTATAATGCCAACTTTTCTGTGTGGATATAAGCCTTATCCCGTTCAGGCAAATCAAACACAATTCAAGAGCTTTTTGAATTTGTGTCCTGGGCTGAAGTCTAATAAAATTCCAAATAAATGCTTACAGTTTGCTTTCACCAGATCTTGTTCATTCTGGATGATAAAAGTCACTGTGTATGTCCACAAAAAGGCACAAACCAAACTGAGAAAACCTTCAGTTTATACCTCAGATTGAGCCTCAGTATAGAGAAAGCCAAAACAATTTCTTTGTTTGGCCCTGCCAAACAATTTCTTTTTTTTGGCCCTGCCAAAACCTGCAGGGCCTCCCTGGTGGCGTAGTGGGTTGAGCGCAGCGCTGTGGGGCTATCCGCAGCCTCTGCAGTGTGGGTTCGATTCCCGGCCAGCCAGGGAGATACCCACATAGCCCAGCAGACCTCTCCTGTCTCGTCCACTGCTCCCCTCAGCAGTGCTTTTGGTCCATAGGCCTGTACTGCTCCCCGCTCTGTCTCTGGTGAATCCTCTCATCCTCCTGCACCTCTGGCCTTTACCCCAGCTCTTGTATAAATAAATAAAAATCTTTAAAAAAAAGAAAACACCTGCAAATCCCAGGTAAGGAGGAGAATCAGATTTCCACCATTATCCTATTATTAGATTCAGATATCCAATGTTCATGGAATCATAACAACTGCATTCTGTTGGACCACAGCACGTCACAAGGTTATGGAGACCAAGGCCCAGCAACTTGTCATGTGAAAGCCAAGCCACCAGAGGAGACTGCTACAAGGAAAGCAGTTTAGCCAGGTACTGGGGACCTGAGAAGATGGCAGGTCCCAAGCAACCGTCTTGCCTCCTTAGGCTCAGTGAGGGCTTACTATGGAGGGGGAGGGGTCACATGGGCTGACTTACTGGCATCTGTGGTTGCTTTTCTCTTAGAAACCTTGTTAAGGTCTTAGACAACACCACTTTTTTGCAGAGTTTGCAAAATTCTGGTGAATTTTGTTATGGTAAGTGCTAGAACCAGCCAGTTCCTCCCTCGGGGCATTTGATTGAGATAGGAGAACTAGCTCCTGGTTTCTGTGTCATTTTGATTTCTGGGTTTTCAATTCCCAGCCAGCCTTGAGATCAGCTCAAGATTTTTTGATAAATTTCCAGTCTTTTCAGTGTCTGTAATCAAGTCTCAGAAAGTTTGATAAGTTAGGTAAGATTTTTTTTTTAATGTACTCTTAGGGTTTGAGAGCAAGTTAACCCTTCAGACTTTGTCTCACCCACACCCTCCCATTTTCAAAAAGTAGAAAAATAGGATCTACCTCTTAATAGGAGACTCTTCTAAGGGTTGTTGCCATTTTTGTAATCTACCATATAGGGTATCCTGGTCTTAGAAAAAACTGGTGACTTGTATTCTTTTCCTCCAATAGCTTCTAGTACTAGAAGTTCAGCCTTTGTCAGGGCCTCCCTGGTGGCACAAGGAGTTAAGTCTCAGCACTATGAAGCAATCTGCAGCCACTGCAGCACAAGTTCAAACCCTGGCCAGGGAGCTACACACATGGTGCAGCAGATCTCTCCTGGCTCTCCCGCTGCTCCCCTCAGCAGTGTATTTCAGAAGATCCACCTGTTCTGTTCTCCATTCTGTCTCTGGTGAATCCTCTTACCCCCTACACCTCTGGTCTGTACCCCATAAATAAATGGATAAATAAATGGATAAATAAATAAATAAATGGATCTTTTGAAAGAAAAAAATTTCAGCCTTTGTGCAACCAGACTTGTCCCAAAATATCTCCTTTTCCTAAGCATATAAGGGTAGGCTTAAGATCTGAGAGCTATGTAGAGACACATTCATTCTGCTATTTTGCGAAAGTCTGAAATTCCTTGAACAGGGTCAAGAACACTCATTTCTTAATTCAGGATGAAAATCTTTAAATTTATTGTTGTGTCCATTATACATTTATTTAAGTGCTCCCATTTTTGGCTGGCAGTTACATTCATTATTTCATAAGATTCCAATGTGTCAAGAATCTCCTGGGGGCAAGCAATCCTAGAACAATACCTGACTTTCACTATGTATTTGAATAACAATGACTTTCTCTACATACTTCTGTGTGCTAGTTTTCATTTTGAGCACTTAACATGTGAATTAAGTTACTCTTCATGGTGACTCTATGAGATAAGGACTCAAAGATCTTGACTCATACAATTTACAGGTGACTGGAGGCTCAGAGCGGTTAAGCAGCTTTCTAAAGGTCATCCACTAGCAGGTTAATTCATTTATTCCTTCCATAAGCATTCACTGAATGCTTTCTCTGCTATGTGCTGGCAATGTGACTGGACAAAATTAAGTGTCTGTGGGGAAAACAGACAAGAAATCAGGAAATAATTGCATTAGGCCATTTCTCATGATGAGGTAACCCAAGGCATGGAAATGTTTAGAAGGAACAATACCTTGGGTCAAAGGTAAAATGAAATTCAGGTCTAGGAGAATCAAATTCTGAGATTTTTAAGTGATATTTTCTTGGAAATAAGGACTTTCTTTGTGTGGGGAAATGTTCTACGAGTATGTTTATGAATAGTTCTTTAAATAATTAACATAGTTTGAACTACATTTATTAGGACTATTTTCCACTCTAATGTTAAGTAAATGTATGATATGCCAGTATCATCAAACTAAAACCAGTAATCCCGGCTTTCTGAAACTTGAATAAGTCCACCCATCATCCAAGGCAGTCATTGTTTATTCTCTCCTGGGTTTGGTGACATGGTTAGGAATTGGGGTGAAGAGTATCAACCCCCAATAACAAGGTTACACATCCCATAGATAGAAAAGTAAAGTTAAAATCTCTTCAAAATAATAGATCTTTAATATTTTATTGGACAAACAAGTATGTAATATCAATACCTTTCAAATAAGCTTTTTAGATTTGGCTAACTTGACCCTCCCCTCTTCTGATGAATATTGTGAGGTCTCCTTTCCCTACCTGAATGTCCCAAAATTTCCACCACCTACTCTGTCTGGAGAGGCAATCACTATTTTAGAATAAGCAATCCATATTTAGAAATGGGCACATTTCTAAAAGAAAACATCACTTTTTAATGGATTAAATATCCACTTGGATTCAATACCATTAATTCCTTTTTCCTGCTGATCAATCTCCTTCCTGTTCTACAATATTGCGTGATAAAATCCTATGTAAGTTCTGTCTTTTATAGCCTATCACACTTGGCATTGCAGCCTGTGACCTACTTCTGGCATTATATTAAAAATCAAGTTGCATCTGTTGCTTCTTCTTACCTCATAGTCCTGAAGCCCCACCTCCAAAAAGCAAAGGTGATTATCTTTTGGGCTCAGGAGCCAATGAAAGTCCACCAAGACTTGTCTGTTCTATGGTCAGGAAGATGCCTCTTTCCTCAGAACTAACAGCCACTTTACAAATTGTAAGTAGAGGGGACAGAAGACAACAGTTCCACCCTCCTTCCAACACCGGAAGCTCCCCACACAGACTTTTGACATTGGTAAATATTTACACTAATCTGCTCCCTCTTCAGAGATTTGTTGCGTGCATTCACGTGAGAAATGTTGCTTTATAGATTCATTCTCAGCACCCCAACCTCAAATTTATCTCTCTGAGCCACCCATCCACCCTGCCTTTTCTTCCATTTGCCTAGGCAGTTCCCCGTCTGAACCAAATGAGGGGCCAATTCCAGCTCTTCTCTTTGGTCCGGTGTGCCCGAATGGGACGTGGAGCCTGCTGCAAGCCAAAGAGAAAATTTGCCACTTGGACCTTCAGATCTCTTGACCACAGGACCCTCGGCCAAGCAGTGCCCCAGCACTTTAATTTTGCAAAGGATGTGCTGGACCATTGGTCCCAACTGGAAAAGGTAAAACTTGTGTTTTAACTTCGAAATATTGGCCAGGGCCAACTGGAGGGGTTTACAACCAAAGATGATAAAATTCAAACCCTCTCTGTGCCTGGTGCTAGAAAGTATAAATCCAGAGGAGAGATGTTATAGCAAAATGCTAAGAACACAGGCGTGACAGCCAGACAGACCTGTGTTCAAATTCTGGCTTTGTCAAATTTGAGCAAATTTTTTACCCCTAAAGCCTAGTTTTCTTATTGGTAAAATGTAAATGTTAGTTTCAAAGTGTTGTTGAGAAGATTAAAGGAAACAATTAATAAAAAAGTGCCTAGCATAGGATTTAACAGCTTGCAAATACTCTGTTTTTATCACCACTTGTAAATATTATTGTCAGAATGATATGATTTATTTCTCATTCAACAAACCTATTCTGAGCATTTCCCAGCACTAAGTTTTAGAGACCCAACCCCAGAGTTGCTCACAGTTGGATGCTTTCTTTTTTTCCCTCTAAGCAAGAGAGAACCACAAAGGGTAAGAGGCAGGAGGGACAAAGGGAAATAAGTTTACATCTGGGTGATGGAATTTAGAAAGATTTTGTAAAGCAGGGAGACAAGACTGGATCCTGAAGAATGGGTAGAATTTCAACAAAGACATATGGAGAAAGAAGCTGTAGGCAAAGAAAATGTGAGTAGAAATAGGACAATAAGAAACTATGAGAAATATTCAGGGGTATATTGACTGAGTATAGGGTCATATAAAAAAGTAGTGAGTTTTTTTACACCGATGTCTTAAAATAATAACAATACAAAACACCACAAAACAAAAGCAGACAATTATAAATCAGAGACATCCTGCAGGGGAGGTGGGAGAGGGATCAGAGGGAGGGAGGGAGGCGCACAGGGGACTAAGGGGCTGGTGCACGGGTGCATTGGGGAAGGAAACTCTATGGGGACTACACCTGGGGGGGTGGGGGGAAGCAAATATTGTTTAAAAATGAACAATGATGTAAAAAAAAAAATAAATGAATATATAAAAAGTAGTCAGTTTTGAGGGGGGAAAGGCAAGAAGCTGTTGAAACCAAAAAGGGCCTGAAGACTGAGGGATGGAGTTTGGAACTGGTGTGATTGGGTGTCGGGAGCTACCGAAGGATTTTGAGTTGGAACAGAGTTGCCAGAGGTCAGACAAGGATATTAGATCAGGAACTTGAGAAGTACTCCCACGGCCTCAGGAATAAATCATATTGCAGATGGTTTCATATTTAACAGCTCACATGAAAACTTCAGGAAGCTGGAGAAATAGCTATGGGTTCTCGGCCTGGCCCTGGAACACCCCCCACCCCCCAGCCCCCCTCCACCCCCCAAACCCCCCCACCCCCACAACCACCAAAAAAAAAAAAAACCCATCATTGATAAGCAAACAGAAAATTGATGGAGAGAGGGTCTGGGTGTGTTATCCTTATTCATCATGTGCGGAGGACGGATTGGGGAACACCCTGCCCACTCCCCATTTCCCCTGTTGTAATGATTGGTTCTAAAATGGCCACATGGAGAAGGATCCTGTGGACCAGGCCACTGTCAGTGCAGGAAGGAGGAGAAAGGTGAGATAAAGAGACGGAGGGAGCAAAGAGGTTGACAAGGGAGAAAGAAGTGGGGTCAGGAAAGAGGACAGAAGTAGGAAAGAGAAGAGGAGAGAGAGGACAGAAGGGAAGGCCGACGAAGAGGGTGGGAGGAGGAAGCCACTTCTCTTCCTCCATCATCCAGAGGGAAGGGAAACCCACCCTCTAGAATGGAGAGGAAAGCTTCGTCGGGAAGGAGATGCTTACAAGGGCTGGATCCTTCATCTGTGCCCCCACGAAGCAGTGTTGGAAAATAGAGGCTTTCTTTCTCACAAATTGCCCCACTGAAAAATAAATTGCAGCAGTCAATAAGGTATGTTTGGGGGCAAAAATAAAATTAGAATGGGTCGGGAAGAAGACGCTCTTTCTCTCCAAACAAGATGGCGCCCTGGGAAGTCTTTGCCTTCTTCTAGGCAAGGCTGTTTCAACACCGCCAATGTCGAGTTTCCTCTACATTTGTTGAAACTCCTCAGTACCAGCAGGCCAGTTGCTTAAACATTAAAATATTTCATGCCTCTTGAGAAATAGTCGCTGCTCCCAAGGCCCCAAGCATCCTGGACTGTCTTTAAGATCTGACCACTCAAGAGTGGTATCTGACCGGTATGGGCCTCCAGGAGCCATGGTCCATGTTGACTAATAGCAAATATTTTGAATATCATCCCACTTAGGATGGACACAGGGAGGCTCACCCTGCTCTCTGGGAAGTCAACACCGAAGGAGAAGAGGATAAATGGAGCTTTGAGAGGATGAGTCATTTCTCCCAGAAGGCAGCCAGCATCCTCTCAGACACCTGCGGCCTCAACCGTGGGGACCGGCTGATGATAATCCTGGGCCCCGCACCGGAAACCTACTGCATCTTCCTGGCCTGTGTGCAGTTAGGTGAGGCTGGGGAGGGACCCCACATGGGAATTCAGGTGGAATCTTGACCTCAAATCATTCACACCATGGAGAGGTGTTAAAGGGATGGCCCTCAATTCCTGAATTTCTCTCATGGTATCGGGGTCTTTAAACAGGCCTTGGTTGAACCCCACTTCAACCACTGACCACACTTACAGTGTACTGTAAGGCCACTCTGAGTCAGTTTCCTTGTCTATGAACTAAGCAGAGAGATAGAACCAGTCTTACTGCATTTCTATGAGAATTAAAAAGCAAATAATCCATGTAGCATGCTAGGCTACCAGGCCATTCGTGGCTTCAAGGAAATATAAAGCTCTGTCCAAGCTCAGTCAACATCAAGGAACAAAACAAACACCCCTCGCCCTCTTGGGGTCTCAGTTCCCACATCTGTAAAGAGCGTGGGGACAGTCCTAAGAGGGCCCTCTCCATTCCCGTATTGGACAGTCCTGGGGAACCCCCAAATGATCTTGAGGTGAGGTTTGGGATGCTTTTAGGATGTCCTTCCCCTTGTGGCATCTGACAGGCCTCTGAGGCTCACTCTCCAGCGAAAATATCACCAGCAGGAAATGCCTCCATCATGGGCAATCTCGCAGGGGTACTGATGTGAGGGTACTGATGAAAAATCCCACTCTAATTCAGGCCTCCTTGTCTTCTCCCCTCAGAATACAGAATACAGGCATCCTTTTTTTTTTTTTTTTCTCTTTAGTAATTGGGAGACTCCCGTGAAATTCAAATAATTGTCTCTAAGATGGTCCAAGCTTGCATCATTAGGAGTTGTCCAAAATGACGTAGTTGATTATTGCCTTTGCCTGCTAACAGGTTTGTTAGTCAGGAAAACCTGAAAAAAGTGACTCAAAGAGCAAATTCCCTTGAGAATGCCAGGTGGTGGCACAGACCGAAGAGAAAGAAGCGAGTCGGGGCCTCCCTGGTGGTGCAGTGGTTAAAGAGCTCTACCTGGCTATGGCCAGCCACTGCAGCACGAGTTGGATTCACCAGCCAGGGAGCTACCCACATGGCGCAGGAGACCTCCCCTGTCTCGCTGCTGCTCCCCTCAGCAGTGTATTTCAGTAGATCTGCCTGTCCTGCTCCCCACTCTGTCTCTGGTGAATCCTCTCACCCCCCCCCCACACCTCTGGCCTACACCCCAGTTCCTGTATGCATAAATAAATAAATCTTAAAAAAAAAAAAAGAAGTGAGCCAGCCCTACGCTCGTGTACACCCGGGATCCCAAAGTCTTCCCAGTTCCCACTGGACTAGGTTATCCTGAGGGGCACGGACCCGTTTGGCCCGGGCCCAGCGGCTCTTTCATTTGAGGTCAAGTTATATGAAGGGATTTCTGTGGCCGTGTCCAGCATAGGCTGCAGCTATCAGTCCAAAGCAGGGTAGGGGCCATTTACATGGTAATAATTAAAATGATTTACAGTGATCAATGGATACATGAATGGTTCTGCTTAGTTCATCTGTTTGGTTTTTTGGTATACCACGTATGAGTGAGAGCATACAGCATGTATCTTTTGCTGTCTTGCTTATTTTGCTAAGTTCACTAATCCCCTCTAGGGCTAGCCATACTCACCTTTCACAAGTTGAATACTATTCCATTGTGTATAGACAACACATCTTCTTTATTCACCCACTAGTCAGAGGGCACTTAGTTTGTTTCCAGCTCTTCACTATTATAAATAATGCTGTAATGAACTTGACAGTACATTATGTCTCTTTGAATTAGTGCTTTCCTAGTCTTCTGATAAATAGCCAGAAGTGAAATCTCAGGGTCATATTGTAATTATGTTCTTTTTTTAAAATGATTTATTTTTTATGCATACAAGAACTGAGGTACAGGCTAGCAGTGTGGTGGGTGAGAGGATTCACCAGCGACAGAGGAGGGAGAAGAACAGGTGGATCTACTGAAATACACTGCTGAGGGGAGCAGTGGGTGAGATCAGAGAGGTCTGCTGCACCATGTGGGTAGCTCCCTGGCCAGCCAGGGATCAAACTTGTGCTTCAGAGACTTCTGACAGCTTCATAGTGCTGTGCTTAACCCCTTGCGCCACCAGGGAGGCCCTGTAATTATGTTATTAATTTTTTGAAGAATTTCCATAAGGGCTATGCCAATTTCCATTCCCAGCACTTATAAGGGCTCCCTTCTGTCCACATCCTAACACTTGTTGCTCCCTGTCATTTGGATAATAGTCATGTTATTGGTTGTATGCTAGTATGTCCTTGTTCTGATTTACCTTTCTCTAACAATAAGAGATGATGAAAATCTTTTCATGAGCTTACTGGACATCTGCATGTCTTCTGTAGAGAAGAGTCTATTCAGATCCTCTGCCCATTTTTAATAAGACTGTTTTTTTTGTTATTGAGTTTTATGTGTTCTTTGTATATTTTGAATATTAACCCCTTGTCAGATATATAATATACAAATAGCTTCTCCCACTCAGTAGGATATCTTTTCGTTGTAATGCTGGTTTCTTTTGCTGTGTAGATCCTTTTCAGTTTGATGTAGTCCCAATTGTTTAGTTTTACTTTTGTTTGCCTTGCCATTGTAGTGAGTACCAAAACTCATCTGAAGGCTGATATCAAGGAGTATGTCACCTATGTTTTCTTTTACATATCTTATTGTTTCAGGTCTTATATCCAGGTCTTTAATCCATTTTGAATTAACTTTTGTATATGGTATTAGATAGTGGTGTAATTTCATACTCTTGCCAGAAATGCAATACTATTTATTAAAGAGACTTTCCTAGTTCCATTGTTCTTAGCTTTTCTATCAAAAACAAGTTGTCCTTATATGTGTGATTTTATTTCTGGGCTCTCAACTCTGTTCTTTTAATCTGTGTGACTGTTTTTATTCCAATACCATGCTATTTTCATTACTCTCACTTTGTAGCATAGTTTGAAGTCAGCAAGTATGTCACCTCAGTTTGTGTTCCTTATTGTCAGGATTGTTTTGCTACGAGGACCTTTTGTAGTTCAAAATAAATTTCATGATTTGGTCTGACTGGCTAGCTTAGTTGGTAGAGCATGAGCACAATGTTTTTAAGATTCACCCGTATTATAGCATGTATTAACACTCCATTCTTTTATGGATGTATAGTACTCCATTTTACATATATACCTACATATGTGTGTATTGTATTTTGTTTATCCATGTTAGAGGAGGTGGGAAATGTCTGCACTGGTAAACCAGATCCTTTAGAAAATTAGGAAGTCTGTAACAGGGTGTATAAGCATTATGGTAAGACAGGCAATATCATAATCAATTTTTCCAGAAATATTCAAACTCTCCAGACCTGAGCAGTCAAGGGAAGCCTCTGCTTGACACAATCGTAGAACAATCTGGGGCAGCAGACACACCCAGTCTGTGCCACTCACCTAGTTAGCCCAAAATAAGTATCATATGGATGAAAGGAAGATTAAGGAACAGCCCATGAACAGAGGAAGGACATTTTGTGTCTAATGCAAATCCAGGAACCCACACACCAGCCATTGTCAGGCAAGGGAGAAAGAACAAAGAGGGCCTTTCTGTAACCCCCTTGCATCACTCAATTTCAAAATCAGCCTACATTTCAAATAACTATCTGACCCATGAAAAGCAGCCCATGGAAATTATGGGCTGCTTGAAGGGGAAAAGGTAAATGGTAACAAAGGTCGGTGCCCCCCCCACTTCTCAGTTGTTCGCTGGCTGCCATTTTGTTGCTGGCCCAATGGCGAGGTTACATCCCAGAGAGAGATAGTATTCAAGAGACCACCTGTGCTTGCCAGAATACTCGAGGAGATATTCTCACTTAAAAAATATGAATAAAATCTTCCTTTGTGGCTCTTGTAGGAATCACCTTTGTGCCAGGAACACCCCAAATGACTGCCAAGGAGATTCTCTATCAGCTGCACACATCTAAGGCCCAATGCATTGTGGTCAACAAGGCTGTGGTTCCACTTGTTGACTCTGTGCTGTCCAACTGCCCCACCTTGAAGACCAAGCTCTTGGTATCAGATAAGAGCTATGATGGATGGTTGGATTTCAGGGATTTGATGCGGTGAGCGGGCACTGATACTAAACAGGGCACTAAAATCAAGAAAATGTCCGACTTTGGAAGGCATATGTGAGAAGCAATGTGGGTAATGTGGAAGGAGAGAGGGGAGCAGGTCAGTAACGTCTGGTCAGTAATGTCTGTCTGACGGGAGAACACTCCCAACACAGGAATGCCTGATCTGTCTTACAAGTTCTCAGTCTTAGTGAAAGTCTTACCTCCCAAAATTGGGAGTGTTAATTCTGGGAGAAGGCTGACCAAGAAAAACACAAAGAGGTTAAAATAAAGTAATGGCATTAATTTGGGAGCCTTAGATCTGAAAATTGGAGAGCACAAATTCAAGTCTTAGCCCAAATTGTGTCCCACTGAGGGATTTTTTTTTTTGACAAATGATAAATGAGCAAGACAGACTGCAAAAGAAGCTTCAAAAAAAGCAGGGCATTGAGAAGGAGTAACCTGATGTGAGAGGGGAGCATTACTTTAGATTTAGTGGCTTCTGGGGAGAGAACATTTAAGCTGAGATTTGAATGCCAACATGGCAACCTTTTGAAAATCCATGGGGACCATGTCCTTGGCACAGGGATCACTGAGGGAAAGGAGGGCCGGAGGCAGGAGTGCCCTGGATCTGTTTTGAGGAACAGGAAGGATGCCAAATATGGTGAGTAAGAGAGTGGGTGGACAGGGCTGTAGAGCAAGAGACAGTGACATAGATGCCCTGTAGATTATGCAGGAAGCCATCTGGGAAACCCTGGAGAGAAGGACTTGATTGGATTTACTTTGTTGACACCCACACTCTGGCAGCTGGAGGAACAATAGAGCACAAAAAAGGGAGTAATAAGACCGGGATGCAGGCTGGTGCAGCTGTTCAGGTGAGAGGCCACCTTGGCCAAGAAGGAGCAAACTGACAGGACTCACTTCTGGCACTAAACGAAAAGGAACACCCAAATACTCAGTGACAGAGAGAAATACCATTTGAACTTTAAAATAAATTTTTAAACATGCATGCGTTTATAAAATAATCAAAAAAACAATTTGAAGTTTTAAAATCTATATTTGTATCTAACTTTGATGTTTGTATTGTAGATTTAAAGTTTATAACTACAAGGTCGTCTTGGAAGTCTTTTAAAATCCAATTAATTTTTAATATTCTCTGAAATTAAAGAAAATCAAATTGGCAAACTACCGTCCTTGGACTAGCTGCTTATTTTTTAAAGATTTTTATTTATTTATGCATACAAGAACTGGGGTACAGGCCAGAGGTGCGGGGGGCATGAGAGGATTCACCAGAGACAGAGTGGGGAGCAGAACGTGAAGACTGAATGAAATACACTGCTGAGGGGAGCAGCGGGTGAGACAGGAGAGGTCTGCTGTGCCATGTGGGTCAGCTCCCTGGCCAGGGATCAAACTTGTGCTGCAGAGGCTGGGATTGCTTCACAGTGC